CCTCTCAGACGTAAATATAGAGGCTGGCACCTGTTTTCCGCCAACTCATCTAAATATTCCTCTCGTCTGTCTGAAAAACATTTTCAATCTGTTCCATAACATTCTTGCTGTTTTTCTAACTCCTAGTGACCTCTTACGTCACAAAAACACACCCCTGTCTGGTCGAAACGACCAATCAGGAAACTCCCAAGTGAACCGGAAATGGAGCCCTTTAAATGTCGGTACTTCCTAGTTCAGCCAGTCGCTTCAGGCTCCGGCTTCAGTCGTTGCAGCTCCGGTGCTGGGAAAACGGGAAAATCCCGACATGATCCAGAGCTCTTCCGAGTCTTTTGGGATTATAAAATCTTCCACCTCTGAGTGGAACTTCTGAAGGACTCCACTCATGTGAGTCCACTCGTGAGGTGAACTGTGTCGGACGGAATACCGTCGCTACTTCGGACGATTCACAGCTGTTCCTACGGAGACGCTGAAAGGGTGCGTTAAATGGAATTTCGTACCAGGGAGACATCTCCAGGTAAAAGAGATTTATACCACCTAAGTGTACCGGGGAAGAAGCTGGGAAAAACCCGGAGAGTGCCGTTCTGATGCCGACACAAACAATTTTCCTCGTCCATCTTTTCATCTCCCTCCCTCTAAACTTCATCTTTCCATCTTTAAAATTCTTCTATCTGCTAGAAATCATTCCAGATATTTTTAGAAGTGTCTGTTGTACAGCTGGAAGTGAGAAAACAATCGCCGTATTGTTTACTCCTTGTAAAACTTGCTAAATTAGCCATGTTGTTATTTTCCAATTTGCCAATTAATGTAAATGTGTGATGTGTTTAAATCGTTTTTAAATAAATGACCCACTGTCGTTGGTGAGTCAAATATAAACACGTTTCCGTCCACATGTTATTAAATTCAATGCACGTACATTATACAGTCCAGAAAAATGAAAGAATCCGTTTAATTTATGAATATATGATGCATATGTTCATCTACACAACACACTGATGAAATGCATCAAAGTATGTCAGGGTCACTAAATCCATCAGTGGAAACAATCAAATAAAAATACACAGATTTTTCAAACTTTACTGTCTATATGAACATTATTGTTGAACTTTACCTGGTGCTGGTTTCACTCCTTGGACTGCTTTTCCTGAAAGTAAAACAAAAGGGTGATTAAGTTAAAAAACAATACTCTATCATTTTAATACCATTTGTTAAGATCATCAGCTACATCTCTGAAGCCCCTATACCATATAAACCACACCTGGATGAAAGAAACCACACCTGGACCATAGAAACCACATGTAAACCATGAAAACTAAAATAAATCATCTCTACAGAAAGTTCTCGATCCATTTATCCGACGAAACGATGAAGTTCATCAAAGTATGTCAGGGCCACTGAATCCATCAGTGGGGACAATCAAATAAAAATACACAGATTTTTAAACTTTACTGTCTATATGAACATTATTGTTGAACTTTACCTGGTGCTGGTTTCACTCCTTGGACTGCCTTTCCTGAAAATAAAGCAAATAGGGAAGGATTTAAGTTTCTTTATTTGTCGTGGAACAAAATTGTGTACACAGGGTCCAAGTTACATCCAACATAAGTATTAAAATGTAAAAGAAAAAGTAATAAGATCTAAGATATGAACTAAGAAAAAAACGTTAACTAAAAATACACTAAGCACTAGTACCGGTAGTATAATATAAAAAAATTACGCAACAATACAATAAAAAGGTAAGGGAAGTTTGAGAT